AACGAAAATCAGCCATTCGCCCGAGGCTTTCTAAAATGCTACTAGTGTAGGGCCCTGACACACAGTGGATTTGCCAGAAGGCCGGTGCAGGACGGCCAAAACTCCTGACGCGTTTTGAGCTCCAGAGTCGATAAACAGTGGACCCGACGTGTGACCCCACCAAAGGATTCCTCGTTCCGAGAGCAATCCGGTGGTGGGATCACACGTTCGGTTCGAGTCGCATGCAGCGAATCTGGGGGGACTGTGTGACGTGCAGATGATACGCAATCTTTGGAGTGCGCGCCTCGCGGCGCCTCGTACGATAGGGCCAAGTCCGGCAAGACAAGGGTTCGCACCTGCATGCTCCATTCGGGTGAAAAGCGGTTTCAGCGGGCCAGCCCTCGGGCCAGCCTAGAAGCGCCACACTCTTCGCCATCCTGGTCGAACACGCGCAGCCGGTAATTTTAGAACGAATAATTCTATATTTACGAATTTGAAACGAGCATCGCGAGCCTTGATACACGAGGTGTTCGGTCGTCGCACAGTGGGCCAGAAGACCGGCGGGGGTGGCCCCACCAATGGATTTCTCGTTCGGAGAGCAATCCATTGGTGGGGTCACACATTTAGCGACTCTGGAGGAGCTCAAAAGGCGTCTAGAGTTTTGGCCGCCTCCGCCGGTCTTCTGGCCCACTGTGCGCCGTGCAGACGACGGCTAAGCGGCCGACTCAACCTGCTACTTTTTCCGCAGCCTCCAGCCGGTCGCGTTGCTGCAGACTCATTCCGAGAGTCGTCGCCCTGTCTCTGTCGCACTCACGGGGCGTCCCGTGCGCGCGCGAGAGAGACGGGAATGCTGCCGGCGTTGCTCGCGTTGCTGGCGTCGCCGAGACGGAGGCGCGTCTGTCTGTGGCGGCGAGCCGCGGCAGTGCGGCCGTGGCCTTCCCCGGGGCGGGGCCCGCGGCACGCCGACGGCAGGCCGAGCCGCCCGCGCCATCTAGCGGCCGCGGGCCGAACCGCGGAACGCCGAGCAACCCCACGCTACAACGGCCGCGCTAGCCGGTGCGGCGCGCACAGTGCGCCGGCAGAGGCGGCCAACACTCTAGACGCGTTTTGAGCTCCAGAGTCGCTAAATGGGACGCGAACCGAACGTGCGACGCCACCAATGGATTGCTCTCCGAACGAGGAGTCCATGGGTGGGGTCACACGTTCGGCTCTAGTCCTGTTTAGCGACTCAGGAGCTCAAAACGCGTCTGGCGCTTTGGCCGCCTGCGCCGGTCTTCTGGCCCACTGTGCGGCGGGCGGCCTACCCGGCGTCGGGGCACCTACCTCTACATCGAGACCGGTGCAGCACCGGATCAAAAACCCGGCGGCCGGGCCGCGGCCACGCCCAGACGGAGATGGATTAGAAGACGCCGAAAATGATTGGTGGGAGAGAGAGAGGAATTTGTTTTCGGCGAAGCGAGAGTGGCGGCACGCACACGCACACACACACACACACGGTCGAGCGCTGCGTCCTTAGGTCGAGAGCAGCGCAACGGTGCAAGGTGCATTCCAGCGCCGAAACCGGTACCCCGGGTACCCCGGGTACCCGCACCAAGAGGCCCACGGACGACCCTGGTACCCGGTCCGGGTAGGCGATACGGAAGCCGTATACAATGGGGGCGAAACAAAAGGCCGCTCCTGTGTGCGTGTGTGTGTGTGTGCGGGCCAGACACTCGGTGTGTGTGTCTGAAATTCAAACGCCACTTCGACAACCCTCGCGGCGACGGCGCGCCAGATGCAGCGCAGCCAACTCTCTCCCTTTCCCTGGGGCCTCAACGCCGCCAGCCCGCCGCCGGCAGGCGGGCTGCCAAAGGCGCAACACGCGACGCCGCGGTCGCGGGTTCGAATACCACCACCACCTTCCCCCGTTTTCATTTTTCCCCCGTCTTCGTCTTATATCGCGTGTCACACTCGAGCGGGCCATGCAGAGGGAAGGGCGCTGTAAGTAGCTCAGTCGCCCGATTCCGTCCCTCTCTCTCTCTCACCCGGTAAGGGCCCGGCCGGCAGCCACGCGAGTGCGACAGAGATAGAGCGAGGCCAAATTGGCTTACCGCCGCGAGGAGGGCGTGCCGCGCACCCAGTGGCTGCGTTGCTCCGTCTCTCTCGCTCCCCTGGCGACACGGCCCGCGAGCGAGACGGAGCAGCCCTTGGCCATGGAGGGCGGCAAAGAGTGTTCGAGGACCTTCGAGGACCTTCCAGGACCTTCGACGACCTTCCAGGACCTTCCAGAACCTTCCAGGACCTTCCAGGACCTTCCAGGACGGCGGCAAGGGCAGTGCTTCTGCAACGCAGTGCGCGAGCTTCGGCCAACGACAGTCGTTTGTCCAGTGTGCACGCGTATGCCGCGCGCAGAAGCGCCAAAAGTAGTCTCGCAGTGGGCCAGAAGACCGGTGGAGTTGGCCGAAACTCTAGACGCGTTTTGAGCTCCAGAGTCGCTAAACAGGACTCGAACCGAACGTAAAACCCCACCAATACATTCCTCGTTCGGAGAGCAAACCATCGGTGGGGTCACACGGTCGGTTCGAGTCCCATTTAGCGACTCTAGAGCTCAAAACGCGTCCGGAGTTTCGGGACGCCTGCGCCGTTCTTCCGGCCCACTGTGCGTTTCACAGTTTCCAGTCTTGAAAAAGGAATTTGGCGGTGCATACGTGGCGCCGGGGGGTGACAGCCGCTCTGGATGAAGCCAGCGAGGCCGAGCGCATAAAAGAAGCATAAACCAGCATAAGCCTTACGAGGCCTACCCCACCCACGCGATCCCCCCCCCCCCTTTACACACACACACACACACACAGATGCATCCCGACAGCGCCCCTTGAAAACCGCCCCCGTCCCATGGCCAGCTACTTTACGGCGAGAACTTCAAATTTAAGTTAAAACACGGTCTTCTCTCTCTCTCTCTCTCTCTCTCTCTCTCTCTCTCTCGAACCCACCCCGGGCGCGCGGGTTAACCTTGCAGCCCCGACACCACACCGTGAAGGCGAGGAGAAGAAGAAGCGGGAAAAAAAGAAGAGAGCTCTTCCCTTGCGCGGCGGGCTGCTGGAAGAGCATCGTGATAAATCTTGACAAATTGTCTTTGTGAATGGAGGCGCGGTAGACGGTGTGTGTGTGTGTGTGTGGCCAAACAATAATGGATGATGCGGGAGGCGAGCAAATGGGGAGGAAGGGTAAGTGCCTTGACGCCTGCGGGCCCCTGCGGGGTCGGCGGTAGGCAGGCCCGTCGCGCGGGCGCGGGCACCGGGTTGCCTACCCGCCGCGGGGTCCGACCTCTTCAGCTTGAACTCGAACTTAGCAGCACAGACCACATTTGATGCAGTCGGTAAGAAATTTTTTTTTTTTCGCAAAATTAAATATTCATAATTTTGAGCTTTTCAGAATCGCTTTCGCATAAACACACTGGTCCTTTCTTCGGGACTCTCCAAATCGTTCCTGCGGCTCCCCGCTTCTCCAGCTGCTCAGCGGCCAGGCGAGGACAGGGAGGGTGGAAGGGGCCGGGGGCAATGTGTGACGCCTCCGATTCTGGACATTCGGCAAAAGCAAAAGAGGAGCCCCCGCGGCCCTCCTCAGGAAGGAAGCCGCCTCCGCGAAGGCCGCCGCGAAGGCGGGCCGAAGCGTGCACAAAATGGAGCGGGGCATAAAGATTATTGAGAACAAGATTATGTAAAAAGGGGACATGTGGTGAGCAGAACGCCGCGAGGGGTGCGCTGCCGCGGTGGAGGGCGCGAGGGGGGAAGGGGAAGGGGGGGGGGGGGGGGGGGGGGAGGGGGTTGGCGGCGCGACGCGGTGCGCGGTCGGCTGTTTGCACAAGATTAGGAAATATTGCGGTAAGGCGAAAGAGCGAAATTAAATTATCACCGTGAGTGATGCCACGGGCGGGCCGGAATGCGCCGCGCGCGAGAACAAAAAGGAGAGAGAGAGAAGAGGGGGGGGGGCGACGAAAAGGGGGAAGGGGGGGGGGGGGAGTCGTAAAAGCGAAAAGGGGCGCCGACGATTCCCCGGCACTTTCGGGTGGAGGCTGTTATCAATCGGCAGCGGCCATGAGATACAGCGCTGCTTCGAATTAGGACCCCGCCACCAATGAGAACGCCCGGACAGAGAGAGGCAGAGATAGAGAGATAGAGAGAGAAAAAGAGAAAGACAGAGAGAGAGAGAGAGAAGAGAGAGAGAGAGAGACCGCATGTGAGTGAGTGTGTGTGGTGTGCCTAACCCGATTTTCGCGCGCCCATGAAAAGACCTTGACCGCCAAGTCACCGTACTCGCCACTCCGTCGAACTCCTCCACTCCACTGCAAGGAGGGCCATACCACAACCACCACCAGACGGGGCCGCGGACGGGGCCTTGGCAACCAGCACCACAGGGTTAGTATAGTTACACGTAAGAACGGTGAATAGTCTTTTCGCCGACCGGTCTCCTCGCGACGGGGCGTTCAGCGACCACCAGACACCGACATTCGTTACTGGATTAGTGGAGGGGATTAGTGACGGTGGGACAGGAAGCGACGCACAGCGACCCGCCCCGCCTCGGCGCGCCGAGTTCCCCAGGCCAGAGAGGTTAGGCGCAGGGTTGCCAACAGCGCCGCAGGGCCGCCAGCCCCCCGCCGGGGACGCGGACTTCGCACAGTGGGCCAGAAGACCGGGGGAGGCGGTCAAAATCCCGGACGCGTTTTGGGCTCCAGAGTCTGTAAATGGGACTCGAGCCAAGCGTGTGACCCCACCAATAGATTCCTCGTTCGAAGAGCAATCGATTGGCGGGGCCACACGTTCGGTTCGAGTACCATTTAGCGACCCTGGAGCGCAAAACGCGTCCGGGATTTTGACCGCCTCCCCCGGTCTTCCGGCCCAGTGTCCTTCGCCGCGACATTTTTCGCTCGGAAAGCCGGCGTCCTGTTCCCGACGGGGGCGCGGGGCCGCACTGCGCGCCGTTGGCCAGACTGGTTAGCTTTTGGGTTATCCTCCGCGACCGCCAGTCACCCCGGTGCTACCAACCTTGCTGTCCTGGCCCTGGGCGCCCGGGGCCGGTGGGGCGGGAGCACTGCTGTCCGCGTGCTCACTCACCTGCGACAAACGAACAGACAGTCAGCACAAACGAAACCAAACACTTTTCCTCACCTTATTTATCCGCTTAAAACCGTAAGAAGAGTTATGAGCATATGTAAGAGAAAGAGAAAGAGAGAGAGCTAGAGAGCTAGAGAGAGAGAGAGAGAGAGCAAAAGGAGCCCGCGTATGTGAGTGTGAGTGTGTGTGAGTGGGCGCGATCCACGATTCGGTAGCCTGCTTGGCTCATCCTCACGCCCCCTCCCCCTCACTACGCCACTGACCAATGAGCGCTTCTCTCGCTCGGCTCGGCTCGCTAGCGTAGCATGGCAGCATGGCCCCGCCACACAGTGGGCCAGAAAAGCGGTGGTGGCGGCCAAAACTCAAGGCGCGTATTCAGCTCTAGAGTCGCCAGACGGGACTCGGAAAGAACGCGTGACCCCACCAATGGTTTGCTCTCCGAACGAGGAACCCATTGGTGGGGTCACACGTTCGGTTCGAGTCCCACTCAGCAACTGCAGCTCGAAACGAGTCCAGAGGTTTGGCCTCCTGCGCCGGTCTTCTGGCCCACTGTGCGCCACTGCCTCGCGCACACTAACGGCTCTATTTGTGGACCGGGCCAATTAAACTCGAGTCCAAGTGCAGAGAAGCACCCAGCAGCGGCTGCCTCCCTCGCACTCGCGCGCCACCGCGGGCCGCTCGGGCCGTCGCGAGGGGGTGCGAGAGAGACAGAGAAGCAGAAGCAGCGCCAGGGCCCCGCCGCGGCCTAGAGTCGCCTGCGCCCTGCAGTCCGCCCCGCCCCGACCGCGCGCCCCGAATCCAACCCGAGAAGCAAGCCAAGGCGGCAAAAGGAGGAGGGCAATCCCGTTAAACAGGCGGGGCCAGCGGGTTGCCTACGGCCACGTCGCAGGCGCTCCGGACGCGTTTTGCGCTCCAGAGTCGCTAAATGGGACTCGAATCAAACGTGTGACCCCACCAATGGATTGCTCGCCGAACGAGGAATCCTTTGGTGGGGTCACACGTTCGGTTCGAGTCCTGCTTGGCGACTCTGGAGCTCAAAACGCGTCTAGAGTTTCGGCCGCCTCCACCGTTCTTCTGACCCACAGTGCGGCACAGCCCCCGCAGCCGGTGGACCTGGGTGGACGATGGACTCGCTCACTCAAGCCGGCTACTTCCTTCTCCCTTCCGCACGGATTAACCGCATCGCAATGCAGCACGGACCGCCCCTTTGACCAGCAGCGGGCCCCGCCTCGGCCCGCCTCGCGTTATCCGAATTCCGCCAAACCAAAACACAACAAAAACACAACAGCCACGAAAGAAAACACCAACGGGGGGAAAAATATATGTGGAGGAGCGCGGAGAGGAACACGTCTACAATAGCTAAATCAACACGACGGGGCCGGCGCCTTCCCTCGGCAACACGCACGCACACACACACACAGTCACACACACACAGTCACTTTACTCTCCTGGCGGGAAAAGGAGATCGGGGGCCGGGCCTCCGGGAGGGAGGGTGAGTTGCTGCCAACAGCCGTGAAGTTCGTCTTCACTCGGCCCCGCCACGCCCCGCCACGCCCCGCCACGCCCCGCTCCCTTGTCGTCCCTCTGGCGAATCCCTTCGTAAATATTTAATTCGAGGAAGTAAAGTAACCCATTCCAACGGACGCGGGGCTGAAGGGGGTGAGGGGGGGGGGGGGTGAGACGGGGAGGGAGGGAGAGAGAGGGGGAGAGAGAGAGAGAAGAGAGAGAGAGAGAGAGAGAGAGCCGCGGAGGTGAAGAGGAGGCAGAAAGAGAGGAGAGTGAGGGGCACGACTGCGATGCAAGACAAAAGAGGAAACAGTCGATATCGAAGAGCAAGAATCTGGCTCTGGCTCATGAATCACTAAATGGCTGCGAGGTGCTTCCCTCGCGCTTCGCTCAAGACGGGGCGCTCCGTTTTGCGCAACCCGAGGAGGACACCCCCGGGGGTGGGTACCGGGCGGGGCGGGGTGGGGCGACATTACTCACTCACGAAGATTGAGTATGGAGGGGCAGGCGGCCGGGGAAAGGCAGGGACGGAAAAGGAGAAGACACCCCGATAAGAGAAAATTCACAGGGAAGGTCAAACAAGTTGGACGGAGGCGACCTCTCTCTCTCTCTCTCTCTCTCTCTCTCTCTCTCTCTCCGCTGCACTTGTGCGATTGCCGCCCTCCCGTTTTTCGCTAGAGCGCCAGCGGCCGTCAAGAAAATGCGTGGCTCAGGTAAACTGAAGAAAATTTCCCTCCGGGCACCCTAAGGTAAACCGAGAAAATTTCATTTAGAGCACCTTAAGGTCAACCTGGGTAAATCAAAGAAAATTTCCTTCGGAGCACCCTAAGGTAAACGAAAGGAAACTTCCCTCGGAGCACCCTAAGGTAAACCAAAGGAAACTTCCTTCAAAGCACCCTAAGGTAAACCAAAGAAAACTTCCTTCCGGGCACCCTAGGGTAAACCAAAGAAAACTTCCTTGGGGGCACCCTCAGGAAAAGCAAAGAAAATTCCCCTAGGGGCACCTAAGTGAGCTTCAGCGTGACACAAGTGAGCAAGCGTGCGTGCGTGTGACGCCACACTGACGCGCTGCAGGAAGACTTCCGCGCCCGTCCTCGCCACGCTTGGCGCTTCGCGGCTTCGCGCTTGGCCCGGCCGCCGTTCCCGCCAGGAATTTCTGCTCGTTGGGTCGCGGCAAATTGTCGATAAATTTGGGTCGGCGCGCGGTTAGTGGCTCGCTGATGGCTCGCAGGAACGCCCGGGGTAATTAGAAGGGCGGGCCGCGCTCCGTCTCTGTCGCACTCGCGGGGCTCGGCGCAAGCGGCGCAGGCGTGCGAGAGAGACAGACCGCGCTCCTGAATCGCTCGGCACACTGTTTGCGGCTGCGCGTCCGTGTGTCTGTCTGCCTGTCCGTCCGTCCGCTCGACCCTCTGTCTATCTGTGGGTCGGTAAGTCGCTGGGTCGATCGGTTTGACGTGAGACGGAAACAACACGAGGTGTGCGCACACACAAAAAAAAAAATCAATTAGAAACTGAAAAAGTTCAACAACATTTAGGAAAGTACCGAAAGAATGATTTTATAAAATTTAAACGTTTTTCAAAATGAATCCAAACTAAACAGTGGGCGTTAGACTTTCTCGATCTTCTTAGCCACGCAGAAACGGAGCGTCTTGTTTACAAATGAGGCAGAAAAATCATTCAAGGAGCATGTGCGCATGCTTACGTCGTCATGCACAATAAAGTACACAGTCTGGCAGGGGCAGTCTGCTAGTCATGCCGGCCGACATTGTAAGCCAAGCCGGCAGACAGAAAGGCGGGCAGACAGACGGGCAGACAGACAGACAGACAGACAGACAGACAGACAGACGGACAGGCAAGGCCCAATCCGCGGCGATTGAGAACGAGTGCTGAGAGCGGTGCAAAAGAGCAGCGGGCTCATTCCAAACAGTGTCGCTCTGTCTCTCTTGAACCCGCGGCTCGCGAGGCGGACCGTGGGGGTGCGAGAGAGAGGGCGCACAGTGGGCCGCCTGCGCTGGCCGGGCCGCGAGCGTGAAAACTAGGCGAGAGGAAAATGAAAAAGGAGAGCCGTTTGCGGCGGCGCACTGGGTTGCCATGGCAACCGCCTTGAACCAACAAGCCGTCCTGCACTTATGACTTGCCGACCCAGAAGGAGTAAACGCAAACAAACAGCATCCCGATATCATCGTGATCGCCCGGCCTCAAAGGGCCCACACACTCAGGGCCTCTGAGGCGCAGGCAACCTGACCAAAAATTCAAACTTCCGCCTACTTTCAGTGGGCCAGAAGACCTGCGGAGTTGGCCAAAACTCTAGACGCGTTTTCGGCTCCAGAGTCGCCAAAGGTCCCGAACCGAACGTGTGACTCCATCAATGGATTCCTCGTTCGGAGAGCAATCCATTGGTGGGGTCACACGTTCGGTTCGAGTCCCATTTAGCGACTCTGGAGCTCAAAACGCGGCCGAAATTTTGACCGCTTCCACCCGTCTTCTGGCCCACTGTGCCATCGTCGAGTGCGCAATGCATGCATTACTCAATTTCTAAATTTGACTCTCTAACCTTCCCATCCTGTGGTGGATTCTTCAGAGGGATTGGACACAGACACGCAAAATCGGAGCTTTCATTAAGAGAGGTTAGGTTCTTATTCTGAGCGTCCGCGACGCGCGGTTTATGAATAACCCCATAGTGCCGTACGTCGCTCTACAAATAAATGCAGGCTATTTGTTGTGGCCGCGCCGCGCCGTGCCAACACCAACACCACCGCTATCGTCGTGGTGGTGGTAGTGCCCCACGCCCCCCGAGCGAGCGCCGAAGAGACAACCACACCAGCCGAGCCACCCCACAGTGGGCCAGAAGGCCGGTGAAAGCGGTCAAAATCCCGGACGCGTTTTGACCTCCAGAGTCGCTAAACAGGACTCGAACGGAACCTGTGACCCCACCAATGGATTCCTCGTTCGGAGAGCAATCCATTGGTCGGGCCACACGTTCGGTTCGAGCGCCATTCAGCGGCTCTGGAGCGAGGGGGTAAACACTTCACGAAATCGTGTACAGACTACTCGGTATTACGCTGTATTACTGGTGTACTACACGTGAATTACGGCCCTAAAATGCCAAAATTTGGCACATTTGACCCAAAAATAGTATTACGATCACGTGTATTACGCGTAATACACGGTTTTTGTGTACAGGGTATTACGCGAGTGGTTACCCCCTCGCTCTGGAGCTCAAAACGCGTGCATCATTTGGAATGCGGTGTCAAAAGCGTTCACTGTTTCCCGTGATTTTCTTTCCCAAAACAAGGACGGGGAATGCGGCGGACCACGCGTGGGAGCGAGAAGGACGACGCGAGGGGCGCGCGACGGAGACGGAGAGAGGCCGATTGCTCACACGACAGATCGGACAGGCGGCCTACTGCAACGGGGTGTGTCAGACGTCAACAAAAACACGTGTAACGTTGTTAACTCCCCGTTCCACCCCCCTACACACCCTCGGACCCCCC